ATGCATTCTCAAAGTTTGCATCTGGTTTATGTCCTTCATAAACGTACATACAGGTGGCTTGGATTAATTGGGCAATTCCGTCCGAAAAAGTTGATTTCTTCCATTAAAGCTGAAGTATCTGCTGGAGATGAATGGGAATTACCTGCGTTCAGAGATGTTGCTAGACATTTCCTAAACAAATCACTTTATTCGATTGGTCTGTGCTCCCAGCTTGCTTTGACATCCTCAGCTTCCATTTTGTTGAGTTCAGAGAAGCATGGAGAGAGGAAAGGACGACGATCTAGAGCCATGCTCTTTTATAAGGCAACAATCCAGAACTTGCTAGGTTTCTTGTACTTGAGTTGCTTATACTATGTTATTTCTGTGATTTGGACTGCTATTTTTGCTTCACCACTTCCAAATAGTCAGTTCTTTCTTTCTGATTTCGGTTTGGTTAGACCAACCTCATTGGTCTCGTTACGCTTACATGTTTATTTTATGGGCTGCTGTTAAAAGCAGGTCTAGTGTTCAAAAGTTTAGCTAGCATACATATGGGTTGGGGATATCTGGCACTAGTACGTTTAAGTTGTGTAAGACATCATGAAGAAAACATAAATGCTATAATTATGGGGCCTGCTCTCCTTCCCTCTAAATTTCTAATATATCCAAGACTTCACTTGAAGCATGTGTCTATAACACATTAACAAGCTGGCTTACACGCATACACCATCAGCTGTTATGCCATCTTTTGGTTGGCAAAGCCTTAATAACTGGTAAGTCATGGACAAATCAACTAGCCTCATAATTATCCCAAAATATATCGCTCCTAAATAATCAAAATTCTGCCCCTAATCAATTTCATGCCATCTTTTCCTTTTCTTTATACAGAATGTTCATTCTTATAGGTTCTTTGTTATTTACATGATAGGCCTAAAGAATCAGGTGAGTATAGATTTTCTGTGTACTTTGCATTGTTAACATTCCATCGTATGGCAGTTGTGCATATATTTTTTTATTCATCTGCAATGAAATTTGATGACTTTCAAATGCATTTAGACAAGGTAAATGCTTTCTTTTGAATCATTGCTACTTGGCATCACCTTTTTGCTTTAGGATTTCTATTATTCATTTATTTTGGGAAATTTTTTTAAGGAATTTTTGGTTTTTTTGTTGTAGTTGTTGCTTGTTAGATTGCTTTGAATGTGTTTGTGTGATGCTAATCATTTATTTGAGATCATGTTTTCATTTATGGGGTCTTATGAATTTTTGTCTATTCCTCATCTTCTGATTTGTCAGCTGACTGGTGAGAGTCTAGGTTTATGAATTGATGTTCAAAGTTTTTTGAGTTCTGGAGTTCTTGTCATCATAAAATAACTGAACAATTGCAAGTATGATGTTAAGCATGAAGGGAAACACCAGGGCTTGATGGAGCCAACAAGACAAATACCAATCAAGTTCTGCTTTGAGTTGCATTTGACAGTGCTTATGTTGGGTTTAGATCGGTCCAGATCTGGCCCCTTTTGCTTTACTTTTACTTTGCTCCCGTGACTGCTGCAAAATGCTTTTCTTCTTTTGATCCAGTAGTTTAACGTGTATTGTTGGTCAATATTTTGTTGTGAGTGGGGCATCTATTACTGTTCTCTGCTTGTGTTATTTACATGCTTGAATGAGTTTGGGGCTGTTCTAAGACATGCATCAAAGTTTGAGGTTTACATGTTGATCTTTGTTGGGTTTCAGCTTCCCACTCATGACATCACCTTGGAAGCGGCATGGCCAGAGCTGTTTATAGACAATAGAGGAAGATACTGGAATGTTCCAGAATCTATATCTCTTGACTGTTTGTCCTTGTTTCTGAATCTGGGTTGAGATATCGCTTTGGCATTCATAAAAATGGTGGCCTTCCCAGTTCTGTTGATTCCTTGAATGCTGCCGAGGCCCACTTGCTTTATTGCCAGGGTTTTGCGCAAAAGGTGCAGTTTCTTATGAGAAAGCAAAGACCTGTGGAGGCAAGAGAGACGAAAGAGGATCTCATAGTAGAGACACCTAATGGCAAGTTTTGGCGGCCTTCATATGATGTTCGTCTTAAGGAACCTCATTCAGCTATATCTGGAATAATTGGTAATGTTGTTGAATGTTCTTGTTCTTGTTCTGTTTTTGAACAACTAAGACTGTCTTTTCTTTCCTTTTAACTATATTACTCTTTTCTGGTTCTAAAGGCAATTTGTTACCTTCATGAACGAAAAATAAATATTCATCTGTGTCAAAAATTTATTAGCATCTCCTGACTCTTGGTATGTGTTTTCCTCTATTTTTCTGCCAATGTACTGGTTAGCATAATGAAGTTGGATGAATGTATCAACTATATTCAAAATATAATGTTGAAGTGATGAATAAACAAAGATCCTATGTCCATGGTGCTCTAGACTTGGATCATGAAAAAAATCTGTGTTCTGTCTCCCGTATGATGGTCTACTTTAGTGAACATACAGTAAGTGCATTCAAGTAATTGCGTTGGTTAGATACGATTCACTCTTGTCAATATTTGAAGCTTAAGCTGTTCTACCTCCCATGGCTGCTGGTCCTTGGCTTTCTTAGATATGAAAGTCTATCATCTTTATTGTTGTCCTTCTCCTTAGTTGCAACACTTAAGATACGGGAGCCCTCTACTCCTGGTAGTTAGTGTAAGCCAATCCTGTCCCTTCAAGCTGTTAACTGGAGTAATCTTTTTGAATTTACTTTCATCAAGTTTTTGTGGCTACTAATGTACAGAGATTGAGCAGTAAGCTCAAAATGCCACATGGTTATTTTATCTGCCAAAGGAAGATCTCATCTCTGCTCCATCCACTCTCTTTGCTTGGTGGGAACATGCAGTGTCTTTTAAACTCAAATGATGCCAAACTCTCCAACTGGTGTTCCATTTTTTGTGTCTACTGATTTTATAATCTAGTTCTTTTCTTATGGAGTAGAGTTTAAAAACAAATAGGGTACCAGGATTAGCCAATTATCAAGGGCAGTGGATGTTTAAATTTTTGGACCTTGTTCGGCTTATGTTGCAGGGACTATTCTCAATTAGAGCACATGCTTATGGTTGTTCTCTTCTGCATTTTCAGAACTTAAAAGTTTCTTGAATAAATGCAACATATTTTGCTAATATCTCTTGATTTATTTACTCCGACTTCAGCTTCTTAGTAACTATCAGCTCTAATACAATGTCTTGAGAATACTGTACGTTATAACTGTAGGTCTTGAGTCATGATAGCAGTTGATTAGTACAAAATTTTGCAGTCATACATTTGCTTTCAATATTTCTCTTCCTACTAAATAACAGTTCTTGTAACCTTCCTTTCTGCTTCAAACTTTTTTGTGCATATAGGTGCTACTTGTGCATCATGGTTTGGTAATGGGAAGAGTGTGGTTGCTGTTGAATCAAGGGAAGCTGGGGTTGATCAGCATTCCTTATAATGCTAAGAGTAGAAGTCCTTTCAGTCTTGATATGTTTGGGTCATTTTGCTATACTTTCCAGCATGGAAAATTTAGAAAGTTGTTTGGGACCTATCAAGGATAGATGCCCGATTGGATGTTGCTTCAGTTTCGGCATTAGCCAAGCAGATTTCAAATGTTGGGAATGCTTCTTACAGTAATGCAGAAAACTTTCCGTCTTCGCCGAGATTCAATGTTATATTGCAGCAGCAGGTAAACTTGTTTTAAACCTCCTCGTTTTCTGCTTATAGAATAAAATTGCTGAAAGAGAAGGTAATACTAGTAAAGAGGGAAGTTCAATGACTCTGATATCATGTTGTTTTCAAATTTGTACTTTTTGGGTGTATCAAGGTTAACTAACATACGAGTGCTTGAGGTCAGTCGTCATCATCGAGATGGTGCAGGTTTTGAATTGTAGGGTCATCTAGAATGTGAGTTATTTTTTGATTTTGAAATTCTTGAGGTGTAGGACATAAATTGAGCTGGTGAATATGTTCATTTTTGTAGGTTGTAGGACCTATTGTTTTCCGAGTGGACTCTAGATTTGTGCTAGATTTGGCAAGAGGCAGCCGGGTCCTCACTTTGAAGATGCTATTTTCAGCCTGAACTATGCTTTGCGGCTCTTGCAATCTGGGAAAGTTGTAGCATGGTACTCTCCCAAAAGGAAGGAAGGGATGATCGAATTACGCTTGTTTGAGTTTTGATTTCTACCTCTAATTTGTTTCGGTAGTTGAGGCAATTTTGATTTCATTGTCCTTTTGTAGTATTATACCCCTTGTAATAGCAACAGCTTCCTTTTGTTATGGTCGGTTGATTTTTGCCAGAAAATGTGCACCTTTCTGGAAATTTTTGGGCTGAATGAAGAAATTGGCAAACATGAAAATTTGAGCATCTTCACTGTTGCAATTGATATGTAGAGGGGTAACTCAAAAAGCACGAATAGTCAAAGGCTTTCCTACTACAAGCTTGACACAATTGAGAAGCGCATCTGTTGCCGTTTTGATTAAAAAAAAAAAAAAAGAGAAGCGCATCTGCAGCCCAAAGCTGGTAACTCTCTTGACCTGTGAAATCAGATTGCACCTTGAGTAGTAATGCTGGTCGTTACACTTTCGATACAAAGGACGATTTTATTTGCCAGTTTTCCAGTTCTTCTTGGTTTCACTCAGTTCTACCACTCCATGATTATGTCTTCACCGATTGTTATTGTCAGTTTATATGCCTTGTTGATACTAATTGGAAGCCGTACTTTTGGTCTCTGTCGTTTCTTTTGCCCTCTTCTCTTGGCATAATTGAAAGATAAGTTTGTAGATTATAACCAGATATCAAACAAGACTGAAGCCTATCCAGCATGCAGTTGCTGATCCTTCTTAATAATTGAATTACTGACCTATCATTATAGTAACTTAACCCCCATCCAAACCTTTGCAAGAAAGTCCATCATGATAAGGAAAATGGTTAAAACCCTAGTATGCTCATCGGTTGCCTTCAGGATGACCCCTTGAGAGGTGAACATCAACAAAAGCCCAATATGCTTCACCGGATAAACAATTTTGAACTGATTTATCACACAATACTACTAACTATAAATTTAGATAAGACTGCCAGCCTAAAATCAACAACACATCAATGCCAAAAAGCAGAGTCAAATGGAAAACCCGAAATTTGATTTTAGGCAGGGAAATCTTAAGCATGTAACTGGTGAAGTAATTAGCATGTCATGATCCCACAACACTGAGTTTTACATTATTATTGCACAATTGAATGTAAGAGAAAAGAAAGTTTAGTCTTCAAATGAGCTCTCTACCAACCAAATCTGACAAAATGAATGCATCGGAGAAGCCAAATCGCCTTAATCAGAAGCCTCAGCCTTTGAAATGCTGAAATTATTCAAACAGCAAGGAGGTCGCCAGCTTTACAAAAACAGTGTCTAGCCTCTGTTCCCAAATCCACCTAATAGATTATCAAAGAAGAAAAAAAATCAATCATAGATATCTCAAAAAAGAAATATGTTTAAATGAGTATCCATTTCCCGCAGATCGTGTAATCGTAGAAACAGTCTGCAAACATCTCGAGAAAACATCTCAAGTCATAGAAGTGACGCGTCATTGCATACCTCATAGGCATTTATGTCAGAAAAAAGCACCTGCAAAACAATCATATAGGGTCAAGACAACAATCACGTCAAACAACAAAGTCCAATGTCCCAGCTATGTATTTGAGCAATCAAAAACAGGAGTTCAAAGTTCTGTGTGCACAAATTTGTCAACGGACCTTCTTTCCACTGTTCACTTCACCAGCTTCAGTACCAACAGATATCACCTAAAGTAAGTCACGCCATTAAGCAGCCAATAAGTGAAATTCAGTCCAGTAGTGTTTACTTTAATAAAACATTTTTGATATTTCACCTACCTCTCCCATTAGATAGCGCTCAAACTTTACTGCTGATTTTGGCAGCAAAACTCCCCCAGCTGATTTCTGCATTAAAATTCTTTCATATGTCAATCATAGCCCCAGGAAGGCATGTCTCTGTTTACGCATGTCTGTCTAAAAGTATGTCTGTAGAGAATTCTATAGTATCCTTTAGGACTAGAATTCCTCAAGTTACTTTAACCATCCAGCATGATTGAAATGAGAGCATACTATAGGCAAAAGTAGGGCTAGAAAGAAAGTTTGTTATGGAACACAATAGTAATTTTCAGTCCTACAGCTGGGACGGGCCAGCATTACAACAATACATTCCCATCATTATAACTGACCCAATCAATCTATGAAACTATCACAATCATAACAATCCGAGAAGGCTCTGGCACGGAAGTATGACTGTCAACTTGCTCCTCCACATTGCCACTATCACCAAGTTCGAAGTAACTAATTGAAGTCTCACACATTAAATCAGGATCATACCATCTATAACCACACAATCAAAGGGATCCACTATCTGCTAGTGTGTGAATTTTACATAGTCAACCCAGTATCAATATTATTGAAGTCTTTTATGTCCGCTTCAGAGTTCATAACGCATAGCCGGCCTTGAATTTAGCAAAAATAGGTCACTGTTCACTGAGTAACTACAATGGTTTAATTACTGTTTTTATTCACTGAAAGTTACATTTCATAGTAGTCATCACTTTGCAAAAGATGCTTGTGGTTATTACAGAAACAAAAATTATAACATTTTTTAGAATAATAATGAGTGAAAAAAGACAAAATTCTGATTCAACATTTTCAAATATCCAACAGAATTTTAACGCGAAAATAATGCCTGGATACTCAATTGTCTCGTATTAAATTCATTACTTCAAATTTTACATATATAATCCCATTAAAAGTAAGTATTAACCCACCAAATACCCACGATAATATGAATGCAGAAGAACAAAATTCATAGCCAGAAAAATTTAATCATGACAAAGATAAAGTCTACGATGGAATACCTGTGGTAGCTCCTCTAACCTTATTAACACTCTATCTGCTTGAGGCACAACCTGTAAAACATAGAAATAATCAAATAAACCAAAACCCATCAGGAATTTTTCCCTTCCCAATTCCCATTCGTCCAACATAAGAGCTGGGAAAAATTATTGAAAATAAGTTGAAACAAAATTCTACTCTAAAATGTTGAAAAAGAAAAACAGGATGAAGAACAAGTGAAAACCTTAGTGGGTTCGAACTTCTTGGCAATCGCACTGACTCTGAGGGAGTTGTTTCTGGGCAAAACTGATCAGAACAGAAAATGAGCTATATATGTTAACAAAGCTGAGGCCTAATTGGAAATTGAATAAAAAAAAAAAATCAACAGGGCACCCAAGAAAAGGAAGTTAGAATTACCCCTGGGTCTTTGGTGGGCAAAAATCGGAGGTTTGTGTTTTGAGAAGTGAAGGGTTTTGCTGCTAATGTAACAAGGGTAGACGCCATGGATAAGGGGAAAGAGCTACAGACTTGAGCTTTAAGCTGGGAGGAAGAGCAGCTTTTGTTAATGTTAATTTTGAAATGATACGCTTATGGGCCCTTTTATTGGTTATAACAGCTTTACATTCTAGAGAGTTCGTCGGAGCTCTCGCCCAGGTTTTATGACCTAATCACAGATTTTTGGGTCGCATACAGTTGAGGCCCATTTAATTGGGCCTTTTGGCATTTGTCAAGTCAGCCGCACGCTTCAGTTAAGCCCATTGCTACGATTATTATGTTTTTTTTTTTAAAAAAAAAAATTCTGGAAACCATGTAAAGTGAAAAAAAAAAAAAATCAGTATGCAAACAAAAATTTTCAATGTTATTTGTAATCACACGTGTAATGTACCAGTTATCTTTGTCTTGAGGCATTAAGATAGTAGTACTGTATCTTTTTTTTTAATCCTTCTTAGAAATTAACATTAACAGATATTATTCTAATCATATGCATTTGGATAAAATCCAATAAACTTCTCTATCGTTTATGCACAAGTCAAAGGATCCCTTATCGATTGGAAACATCCACATAACCCCTATACTTGTGATCAAACTCTAGAAACTAATTTGGAAATTTTCCTGAAGATGTGACCAGCAATGAACCTCCAGAACAATACAGATAGACTAGCACTTCAATTTTTTGCCATCAAATTTGTTTATGGATTTTTGTACAAGTGGGGTTTTTGGTGCTATTTGAGAAAAATTAAATTCTGAAACCACGTTTGTATGTGGTGTTGGTTAGTGAAGAAGATGGTGGTGGATATGTTGATTTGTGACAATTGGAGGAACGAATTTGACCCTATTAATTTTAATTACCGAAATGATAATATGAACCATTCCCTTACCCACCTGGAGTGCTAAATTGTCTGAGTGTTTGGATAAAGTATTATTTGAAATAATAATTGTAGTACTTTTTTGTAACATGATGTATGTGAGATAAAAAGATAATTAAAAATATAAATATGGATTGAAAAATATTTTATGATGCAAGTGAAATATTATGTGAAATAATTCAACTATTCAAGAAGAACTAGATTGTCAAGAAAAAGAATGAAACGGAGAAAAGAATGGAAGAAAGGGGAAAAAGAGAGGAAAGAAAATGGAAAGAAAAGGGAAAAAAGGTCTCTAGTTTGACCAAAAATAAAAAAGGAAAGTAAAAAGAAAAGGAAAAAAGAAAAAAAAAAGGAAGAAAGATTGCAAGTCTTTGGTTTGATTGACAATATAAATAAAGGGCAAAGTTGAAAAAAATATATTGTAAAATGTTGTAAATTATTTAACAATTTTATGTTTGGATATCCCATTAGTTGAAATAATTATTTAGCTTCCATCATAAATATATTTTTAACTATTTTTTTTTATCTTTTTAATTACTTTTTTATATCATATAATACATCATATCACAAACAAAGCAGTACAGTGTCAGCACAAATTCCTTGAACCACAAATTCGAACCATACTTGAGGATTTAAAATAATTGCTTCTTTTTATATTTTTTTCAATTTATCTAATTTTTAATATTCATTTTTAAGATTTAAAATAATTATTGATTCAAAACTATTTATGGAAGCAAAGATATGATTTTTATAAAATAATAAGCAAAACTTTTTTCTATTTTTTTGGATTGCTTCAGGGTTAATAAAATAAAAATATGTTCTTTTTTTAATGCAACATGATCTAATAAGGGCATTTTCAGTATTAAGGGAGTTTTTTGTTAAATGTTTGATCATTCAAAGGTAAACCGTTATTTGGATAAATTACAGGAATTGATTGGTAAATGGTCAAACCTCAGGGGAGGTCAATGTAATTAGCCCATAATTTTTTCAAAATAACAGGTATACAAACACTTCTCCTCAGCTTTTCAAGTAACTTCAATCTATTCTCTGGTTTGCAAGGTCTAACTGGTTACTATTATGTTCCACTGTTGAATTTGGCATTAGAATCCCAAGTATTAATAGTTGCAATAAATCTTCATAAGTGATCAACCAACTGAAATATAATATACCTTGTTTGGATTGCGATTTTTTGTCGAAAAATTATATCGTGATCACATTCTCTATTACCTTTTTTTCTCATGAATATCAAATCGCTACAATAATTTTTTTTATGAAAAATCATGAAAAATCCAATTCAAACACAGCTCAGGAGGAAACAAGCATTAGGAATAGCCTGTTGTTATTCGGCTAATTGGCTGGAAGCAACTGGAGAGGTATTTTCCAAAAAAAGGAAACCAATTAACGGCTACTTGGGACCCCTACGCCATCTTTTCCACCCACAATCTCTGCAAAAACTCGTCCTCTGTCTACTTTTCTCAAAACCCAAAGCTCACTTTTTCTTTCCAATGCTCATTTGACTTCTCCAGTAATGTGCAAGAAATGCTATCTATAGTCTTAAGTTTAAACGCTAAGCAGACCCCTTTGTCTGAGCTTTGCCTTTCTTTCATCTCTCTCTCATATTTTTTTTCATTTCCACCGAGAAAGAAAGTGAGTGAAAACTAGCTCTTTCACTCGCTTTCTGAATTTGGCATATCGGACTCTTTTGAGAGGAAGGCATAATGTTGAAGACATTTGTTAACCTCATTGTTCTTTGCAGCCTTTTCTTGGCAGCTGTTGTATCCTCAAAGCACCACGGTAGGTAGATTCTGAGTCTAGAGCTCCTTATCTCATTCTGCTCCTCTGCCTTTCCTTCACGACTACTGGGATGTATATAACCCGTCTAGTTTTTGCTTGATTTCTGTAGTTTTCCAATATTGTATGATGTAATAACAAGCTTGATGAGCTACCTTCAATTTTTTTTCTCTGTCTAAAATATTTTGTGTTAGGTTTCTGGCATAAATGGGATTATTAATGGAGAAAGATCTTGTATAAAAAGTCAATTTCAGTAGCTTTGATTCTTTTGTTGGTCATAGAATTTTTCTGGGGAAACAACTTTTTTTTTTGTCTGATGAAAGAAACAGTCGAAAATCTGGAAAAAAAAAAAAAACTATGTGCATTTTGAAAAAAAAAACATCCTTTAGATTCCATTTCCGGTTAATTTCTAATTGCCCATTTATTTCGCTCAAATAAAGGACTTATTGTGCCTTCATGCAATTGAATAGAAGAGCTTATGACTGAAACTTAATCGAATTTATTCTCCCATTTTTTCCTCCATTTCTCTTAGCCCATCTCTCTACCACTATTGTTATGAATACATTTCTATCACAAGTGATGTTCTTGTTATTCACTTATTCTACTTTGATTATCAAAGCTTATGTATCGATCGTTGTGACACAAGAGAACATAAACAAATACCAAAACTGTGATTCAAACAAATATTAAGTTAGCTCATTAGACTACACTCTGTAAATTCTTTGACGCGGTTGTTTTTGGCTTAAATTATCTAACCTGCGACCAAATAGAACGTCATTCTTTGCTGTATCTGAATAATGTGCTTTATTCTTTGGGGGAATTTTTACCCCTGTATCATTTTCTATGACCAAGAGCTAAGGAGGAAATGTAAAAAAAATTTAATGTTATGATATGCATTTTGTACTAAACCCGCTCATAGTTGGAATAGGAAGTCCAGCTGCAGATAATGAGCAGGGGACAACCAACCAGTAATGGCTTAAAGGCTAAAACTCCCTTCTTCAACCCTTCATAACAAATTTCTTTAAGAGGAAAGAAGGGAAACTTAGTCTCTTATTATAAAGGAGGACAGGAGAAGTGCATGTATGATCGGCCATCACACTGACATGAAATTTCGGAGATGATGAACTAGAAGGGGCTAGTTACAATAAGGACATGAAATGGCATGCCCAATAGACTTTGGTTGTATTTTCTATGACTTACTTTTCTGATGATGTTTGCTCAGCTGATTCTCATGCTTTACCTGAGGGATCTTCAAAAACCAACCCCTTAATTAGAGTGTCTTCACAGATTAGATAGGAAAATATACGACTTGTATTGACTTGGAAGTACCTATATTCGAATAAAAAGAAAATTTTTCCTCCACCTCACCATTAGTCTTGTGGCCAGATACACCTGTTGGAGCAGTCGCTGCATTTGTACCTTAATTGTGATGTTAAATAAGAAATGTCTTAGATTGAAAGGTAAGGAATCAGAAGCGCTGAGATTGACTTAGAAAGGCAATTTGCTATGTCTTATTTATTCTCGGTAATCTGAATTTACACTAACACTCAGGCAGCAAGAATACATTTCTGTCTCATTGATATCTGCTCATGTTCAAAAGGCATGGCAGTTCTGGATTTCTTTTGTCTTGTTAGTTTCAGGTTTGTGTTACATGATTTTTTCAAACACTGTCATCTGACTGCAAGATCTACCCTTGTGTATTGTACTGTATTTTGCTATAGGGAACCCAGCAGATGATCTTGTTGAACTCATCAACATGAACCGAACAGCTCATAAGCTTCCTGAATTAAGTAATAGTCCTGGCCTGGGGTGCGTTGCCCTGCAGTGTGCAGAGGAATGTCAAGCTAACTGCACTAGTGATAATGCCATAAATTGTCACCCTTCCGCCGATGATTTTACTGAAATTTTTGCTCCCAATTGTGGTGTGGAGCTGCCAACTTTTGGAACCATATCTGGCCATGTTGTTGGCTGTCATCACAAAGATCTCACGCCTTCAGAAGCCTTCTCAAATGTGCTTTTCCGAGACAAGAAATCTTTCTCCCTTTTGGGAAACAGATCACATAACGAAGTAGGAATTGGCATATTTCGAGCCCATAAGCACAAAGGTCCCTATTTGTGGTGTGTTTTATTTAGCAGTAGTCAAACAAATACCACGTTTGTTCTTGATGATCTTGGAGAGGGATCAAGCAGATAAAAGGATGTTACAGCGGACTAAGCGATGCTTGCAGCAGACAAAATCGAAATACTGATCAAGCTTCATATGTCAACACTGTGTCATGTTATTCATCATATTTTTTCTGTCAACAAGCTTACGATAATTTTCATTAAGAGATGCTGATAATTGTGATACTTGTTTTGGTTGAACTAGAACCTAAAAGTAGTTGCTTTTCTCGACTTTAATGTGTGTTTGTGTGTGTACACATACTATGCAATAGCGATCAATGGCCCTAGGCTAGCACCACCACTCCAAACAGTAGTTACGTGCAAAATACGATGAGTAAACGGGAGGCTAGAACAAGGAGAGGTAGTGGAGAAGGGAGGAATGACAGTGGCAATTCTGGAACTTTGGTTTCACGATGGCATAAAATCATCGTCTTGTTTTTTTCCTAATTGGTTTTTAGTTGCTTTAAGTAATATGTTCTGAATCTAATAGAACAATTCCGTTAGAATTAATTGTTTTTTTGGGGTATTTTTGAAATATTTTATTATAATAATGTAGATGAAATGCTTTTACTATGGATGAGGTTGTTTTTTAAGTTGTTTTTAGTGTTTTTGAGGTTATTTTTTTAATAAGGGAAATTTGTCAAATTGGTCCCTAACATTTATCAAAAACACTTTTTTAGTCCCTAACATATAAAATCAGCTAAAATTGTCCTTCACATTTAAATTGTGATCCAATTTGGTCCTAATGCTCATTTTTGCTCCTTTCTCGGCTAAAAATAGTACACCCCTCTCACGTGGTCATATTTTCAAGGACAAAATTGGAAAACACAAATTCCAGATCCACTGGGGACGATCCTTGACCTCACTATCTTTATCTTATTTCGACTCTCTAAGGACAGGTTCACCACAACTGTGACTGAGTTCACTTGAATAGAAGCATATTTGGAGGTGATCAGAGGCCGGAGAGCCAAGAGTAGACACGTAGTATAGAGATTCACCCGAGATTCCTCCTGGGTCTGGGTTAGTTTCCGGAGGAAAAGCAGAGCCTCCTCTTGCTCGAACACTTGAGAGCTCTGGAGCTTGGTCAGGAACTTGTCTTCTTCGAGGGAGCTAGAGTGACACAAGGACTCAATATCTGAGGAGGACGAAGAAGAGCAGCAACAATAGAGGCGGGTGGTTAAAGGTAGAGGAGTGGTGGGCTTGTTGATGACAGTGGTGGCCGTCACGGATTCCTTGGAGCTGGCGGAAACTTGACTAGGCGTCCGAGTCAGCTCGATTTCTTGGAAAGAGAACTTTGATAATTGATGATTAGGCTTCTATTGGGAACGGAAAGCGAGCAATAAGGTACGAATGAGGTTATGAGCGGAGCAGAAATCGAAGGGTTTGGGAGGAGGGGTAAAGAGAGTAAAATGGCATCAGCTGAGAACAGCGGACTTGAGGGCGAGGTTAGGGATGAGGATAGAGAAATCGGGAACAGAGCTGTCGGGGAGGGTGGATCTGAAGTTGAGGGACTTGCAGGCATTGATACAGTTACGCTCGAAGAAGTGGCCGGAGGAGACAATAACGGGGTCAACCATGAGGGAGCTGGGATGGGGTAGACGAATTCCGGAGGAGGTTGGATTTTTTGCTTTGGGGATTTCTCAAAGTGGATTTTCCACTTGGGTAGCTGCTTCTGCTTGGCGCCACTGCCTATCTCCTTTTTCCATTGTTGTTTTGATCTTGAAAAGGTTTTCATATGCGAGGGATATTACGGATCGATTGGGAGACTTCAAATCGGGTAAGTATTGCCGATGATGATAATAATGATAGCAGTAATCTTATCAACTTTGAAAGAGGAATTGTATTGCTGATTACAATTGGGGACATGATGATGGTAAGATTATGCCGCTAGTTGATGAATCTCTCTCTCTCTTTGTCTCTCTCGGTGCACAAATTGCTACACAGTGTAACAAACTAGCCAGTTGAGTAAAGCTTTTGTTTTCCACTTTTGCCTTTGAAAATATGACCACGTGGGATGTGCTATTTTTAGCCGGAAAAAGGAGCAAAAACCAGCATTAGGACCAAATTGGATCACAATTTAAATGTGAATGACAATTTTGGCTGATTTTATATGTTAGGGACTAAAAGTGTTTTTGGTAAACGTTAGGGACCAATTTGGCAAATTTCCCTTTTAATAACTGTTAACAATTTAATAACATATTGGATTCACAATTCAGATTTCAGATTTAACATTTCAATTTTTAGATTTTAGTTTTATCAAACTCACCTTAGTTTTTAAATACTGATCACTTTAGGACACGTAGAATCATATCACTTTAATGTTCTAAATTAGTTTTGCAAGCTAGCATGCTACAGTCGTGTTTATCCCGATTGTCATGAGTGTTTTAAAAAATTAACCTAAATTGTCATATATAGTGATCCCACCTCTACACTTATGTAGATGAGTCTATCAAAAATACTCCATGACTAAGACACCCCACTCATATGGGCTATAAAACTCGTCAAAAGATATTAAAAATTTCAACCTCACTTAATGTCATGGGATATATGCATTTATACCATATGGATAGACAAGTTTTTTTGATAATACACCATACATCATATAATGCATGCCAATCACTCAAGCCACTCTATGATTTGTTTATTTCAAACCTAGTTTTTGGATTGTGGTTTTCCGTCGGAAAATTACGTCGTTTTCCGTGATCACATTTTCCTATTATCTTTTTTCTTCACATACATCAAATCGCTACAGTAATTTTTTCATGAAAAATCATGAAAAATGCAATCCAAACATAACCTTAGTTCCAGTTATATACTCATAAATAGTTTTAATTTATATCAAATTATGTCTTATCCGCTCAATGTACATCTTATCTTTAATTCAAACTTGTGTCATACAAATATACAATAGCAAAGATATGATATCGTGACATTCATGTCAAAGAAGCCTCTAAATTACCCAAGTATATTGCACCAAATATTTGGTGAAGAAAATTTTCGTTCATTTTCAATTGCTCATAAACATAGACACATATCCACGTCTTTCTAGTAGCCAGTAACCATACTATTAGGAACTATCTATTTAGGTGACTAATGGCCTGCCACTAAGATCCATTTAAATTTCTCATGTGTATACACATCTCAATTTCTTTCTAACAACTAGCAATCTAGTAACCTATTAAGAACCATTTTATAAGTTCACCACTCATTTCAGACTTCAAACTTCAAACTTCCAGTAGCATTTTCTACATCTTCTTCTTCTTTTCTTTTTATTATCTACATAGTTTTTTCTTCTTTTTTTGTATCATTTGAAGAAGGCACTTTATTTCTAACTTTGGGTTCGTTTGGATATGATAATTTGGAAAATATTTTAATTATTTGCAAAATTCAATTTTTAATTATTTTTTTATTTTATATACATCACATAAAAAAGTGCTTTGATAAATAATATCAAAAATTGTTTCAAATAATCTTCAATCGATACAAAACCATAAGTTTTACTCTAATCAAACCTTTTGTACTTGCTAAACAAATTTAATTACAACAGTGCAATCAATGATTTAAATTGATTAATAGTTTGAACATGCTAGCTATCTCCCTAAATCCATACCATAAGATTACATTAATCTATAGTATACGCCAATCACAAATATTTTTGTTAAAAGTATTTTATTTGTATCGTAAATATATTTTTCAATCAATTTTTTTATATTTTTAATTATATTTTTGTGTTACACATATCACATCATAATATTTTTAAACAATTTCCTATTCAAACCCACCTAGTGTAAATTAATCGAACTAGTCTAAACACCCGTGCTACGCATAGTAGATCATATTTTTTGGAAGAAATTATAATCGAGGGAGGAATTTAAATAGAGTAAGAAATGTATGTAATTGTTTGTATAATTTAAGGCAAATGAAAATATAGTTAAAAAGTGAGATTTTGTAGCAATAGTTCAATATATGATAAAAATATCCCCAATTATTTATAAACTACCATATTGATGGAAGTTGGATCCTGAAAAAAAAAAAGTAGAAATCTATAGCATAAATTGAGTGACATAAGGGTTCAATTAAATGTAACTGAATATTTAATTTGATAAGTAAATGATATACTTACAAATATTTTGTATTCGATTTGATAATCTTCTATGAAGGTGGGAACATTCTTCATACCAATCAATTCTGAGTACGAATGACAGTATTGGGTTTAATTAATTCTGCTGAATTTTGTGGAGTTCGTACTATAAATGAGAATGTACGATTTTTGTATGAATTAATGTGTTGGTCGAACAATGTACCTCAATTTTCCTAACAATTAAAAGCATATGGAATTCAAAATTATCATTTGTTTTAGAAAGTTTGTAAATAATATTGTATAAAAATATATACATATAAATAATTTATACCTTCTCTTTTAAATCTCTAAGATAAGAAGTATCACACCGAAATATGAATCGTGCATGGCTGTCTTGAAGAGCAAGGTATAGATTACCACTAGAATCTCTAAATTGTATATTAACATTGTATCTATTAAGAAGAAATTGTGATGTGCAATAAAAAATGTAATTAAAATTAAAGATATATGAAAATAATTACCTGATAATAGCGTCAACTACGTCATTATAATGACGAATACACACTATTTTTGAAAAATAAGATTGATATAATTGTCCACAATTTTTGCATAACTCATGAAACATATTGTCTATGTTAATGCTTTGAATGTAAGAAAGTATCCAAAAATATTTAACCTAAAACCATTCAAAAAACGTAGAGATTACAATTATTAATTCAAAATAATATGTAGATAATTGTTCATTAATTAATTAATTAAGAGAATTTTTAACTTAGATGTGATTGCATATTAAGTTAAGGGTTAAGATCGATACCAGAAAGAAGTTGAAAGAGATGGTAAATTGCGGTTTTTGGTGAAATGATTTGTTTTTTTATCTCTTATTATTAGGTTGGAGGAGTTTTAATCGGAGTGGAATTACTAATTGGAGACGTATTAATTGGAGTGGAAAG